TAATCCACCAGAAGAGGAAACACGGTCCTGACGGTAAACGTGGGTGGCGTCCCTCGAACTCGTGCGATCTGCTGGGTCTGACTCCTGACACAGGCAAGGTTTGCATGAGGGCCGCAGCAACGCGCAAAGTGGGAACCGAGGCAGACTTGGGCCCCTGGGCCTTAGCAGAGGAGGCCTTGTTTGGGAGCCACGCATTTTCAGGTTGACCAAAAAGGCATAATATTTTTTTTTTTTCTGGTCAAACCTGAGATCACGAGAGAGATGAAGTAGCTAGACAGGAAGGGAACAAGGAAATATGTTCAACTTCAATAAATCAGCATGGAAATTGGAGGAGATTATATCTCAGGGACAGAGGCGACAAGAACACCAACACGGCTTACCTGCCATGCCTCCGTTCTGCCAGCCTTCCTCTGCGACCGTGAGGGAGCAGTCCCTGGGAGCCCTCCACGCCTGGGAGCCACTGGCTGAGAGGAAAGGAGAACAACTCAACTCTCCTCGGGCGAATGGCAGGGCCCACCTTTTACTACTGCCCGGCAAAGGGTCGCCTCTAGCACATGAGGCCTCGCACCGCCCTCTCAAGTGCCAAGACAGCCTGGGAGGAGAAGGAAGGACATATATTCGGGCTTGCCATTGGAAATTCTTCTCTAATGCCACATTCTTCCTTTCGGTATGGTTACACACCCCGGCTAGCAGCACTTACAGGAGACGTGAAAGCTACCGGCAGCTGGGAAGAGGAGATAGGGGTTAAAAAACGAAAAGAGGAGGGGAGAGTGAGGGAGAGGGAGGGGAGGCAGCGAGAGAGAGAAAAGGAGAGAGGAGAGGAACTAGAGAGAGTGGGAGAGGAAGATAAGGGAGAAGAGATGACCCTCCCCTCCTCCCTCCCCTCCCTCTCCTCCCTGCAGGAGCTGCGGCTCCCATCGCGGCTCCCTGCGGGCGCGGCCACCGCGCAGTCCTGGCTGGCGGCTGGCCTTGGCGGGGGCGAGTGCTCCCGCTCGCGTGCCGAGCGTGCTGCTCACTCGGAGCCCGCCTGTCCAAGTCCACTTCTGGGGGCCGTCTGACGCCGTGTCAAGCGTGGGAAGGACAGCGCTCAGCTACACACATGTCTCTGGTCTGTCTCCCCGGGGAAGGCCGGGAAGACACGCAGGGACACGCTCAGACCGCGGTGGCCCGGAGCAGGGGCTGCGCTGGCCGGCGGCCAGCCTGCCCGCCCGCCATGCCCTTCCACTAACAGGGCGTTTCCATTTCCATTTTCTTCTTTCCCTCTTCTTTTCTATCTTTCTCTTCTGTTTTTTTTCTGAGACAGAGTCTCACTCTGTTGCCCAGGCTAGAGTGAGTGCCGTGGCGTCAGCCTTGCTCACAGCAACCTCAACTCCTGGGCTCCAGCGATCCTCCTGCCTTAGCCTCCCGAGTAGCTGGGACTACAGGCATGCGCCACCATGTCCGGCTAGTTTCTCTCTACTTCCTGTAGTCTACTTAGGGTCTAGTCCCTCTCCTCCTCCCTGAACATTAAAATAAGTATCTTAATAACAATATTAAACTGACCAGTTGCTTGACCACGTAACAGAAATAAAAATGGTAGTTCCAGTGACACCACAAAATTTACAAAGCCTTTTACTCAAATATAACTCTCCATCTTTGTAAATATGTGACATGTCAAGTGGGCATTTTGCCTTGCTTTACCCACGAAAACGAGTAAAACGAGAACTCCCCTTATTCCACCGAGACGTGCCCCTGACCGTGCCCTGCCAATGCCCCAGCAGCACGGCGCCCGGGCACGGCGGCGCCACTCACCGACACACAGGATGTTGAAGCAGAAGCCTTGAGAAGTGGACTTGTTGACCAGCTGGTCGGGAAGACTGTCAAATCCAACGTGGCCAGAGAGGGACAAGTTTCGTAGCTCTTCATTCTGGAATTTCAGAGGGGAAACGCTTGAGATTCTGTGGCCTGTGCCTCCCGGGTGTCACACAGCACACACGCCACCTCCCCTCCTGTCCCGACACACACGGACAGGGAGACACCGAGCCCCACATGGCCGCGGCCGAGCAGCTCAGCCACGCCCTTGCCTCGCGCGTCCCCAAGCCACGGCGGTGTTCGCCCTTGTCACGAGAGTGCCGGTGCAGGGAAGCTGATCTTCTAGAGGTAGCTATTCCAGATAAGCATTAAGTGACATAAAAAAAAATTTTTTAACTCCAACCATTTTGAAAGCTTCTATTGCTCAAGAAAAGCTTTCGATTTATTTTCAACTCATAGAAACAAATAATCCAATTAAATGTGATACTCTTTCAGACGCGAGAGAGGTTGGAAAGCTGTCGCGGAGACTGGCGCCCGTCACAGCCGGCGACACGCGGCCCGCGAGCGCAGCGCTCAGAACTGCCAGCGCGGGTGCCCTGTCCTCTGTCGCCGCCGAGGCTGCGGCGCAGGCCTGCTCGCGCCGGCCTTCAGCCTCTACTGCCGGCGGCCAGGGTGAGGCAGTTACACGCTTCAAAGTCGGGTGATTTATGCTGGAGTCGGAAACGGCACCCACTGCATCCACCGTGCTCCCGTCCGGGTATTAACCAGGCCCAGCCCGCGTGGCTGCTTCTCTCTGTTTTTTGAGACAGAGTCTCGCTCTGTTGCCCAGGCTAGAGTGCCGTGGCGTCAGCCTCGCTCACAGCAACCTCACACTCCTGGGCTCAGGCGATCCTCCTGCCTCAGCCTCCCGAGTAGCTGGGACTACAGGCATGCGCCACCATGCCCGGCTAATTTTTTCTCTATATATTAGTTGGCCAATTAATTTCTTTCTATTTTTAGTAGAGACGGGGTCTCGCTCTTACTCAGGCTGGTCTCAAACTCCTGAGCTCAAGCCATCCTCCCACCTCGGCCTCCCAGAGTGCCGGGATCACAGGCGCGAGCCACCGGGCCGGCCCCTGCTTTGCTTCTGAGCACCGCGCGGGCGGCCTGCGGGCTCTGGGCGCACCGGGCGCTGGGACCGGCTGTGAGACTTCTCAGGAAACCACATCAGCTGCCTGCGGCCCCACGAGCCATGCTCTGGGTGCAGTCCAGGTCGCTGGGCCCTGGACGCCTTCTCTCAGGGTGCTGTGCTGCTGCTGATCTTCACGTTCAAAGTACTGACGTCTGAGTGAGAAAACGAGCCTGAAATCCCACTTTTAATTAGAAATGCACAGGATCACTTAGACACTGTTTTTAAAAGATTGTTTTTGTTATTATGCTCCTATTTTATGTCATATAATCATGAGAGTGATTTCTTTTAATCATCAAGGACTGAGACCCCATTTTTAAACTTCTGTGGTCATTAACTACATATGCGCATATATGAAAGGCGACTCCATGAACACAGGAATTTCACTGGGTTATAATGGTCTGGCGAACAACAGGGTGTCTAAAGTCAAATCAGCTCTAACACTCCGACTGTGTGAAATTAGACCAAAACCCAACGCTCTGCCCGCATGCCATGGCGGCAGCTGCAGATGTGAGGCCGATGGGACAGAGAACAGATGTCCCGTCTATGGATAGTCTCCTTGAACCCTGCCAGTAGTGAACACGACTCAGAGGAGCCACTCGGCCTTGAGCAGGCCGCACGGGAGACCGCTCCCGGCAGCCTGGGGCGACATCGGGCAGCCGCCCAGCCCGGCCCGCGGTGCGGCTCCCCCCCCAACCCCGACACCGCGGTGCGGCTCTCCCCCCCAACCCCGACCACCGCGGTGCGGCCCCCAACCGACACCGGCGGTGCGGCTCCCCCAACCCCGACCACCAGCGGTGCGGCTCCCCCGCAACCGACACCCGCGGTGCGGGCTTTCCCCCTCCAACCCCCGGAACAACCGGCGCGTGCTGGCCTCCCCCCAACCGCACCGCGGCGTGGCTCTCCCCCCAACCCGACACCGCGCGTGGTCTCACCCCCCCACCGACACCGCGCGTGCGGTCCCCCCCCAACCCCGACACCGCGGTGTGGCTCTCCCAAACCCGACCACCCGCGTGGTGGCTCTCCCCCCAACCCGGACCACCGCGGTGTGGCTCTCCAACCCCGACACCGCGGTGCGTGCTCTCCCTCCCACCCCCGGCCACCGCGCGTGGCGCTCCTCCCCCCGCGCGCACCGCGCGTGCGCCTCTCCCCTCCCACCCCGCACCGCGCGTGCGCCTTCCCCTCCACGACCCCGGCGCTCCTCAGCCGGCGACGGGTGCGGCTCTCCTCCCACCCCCGGCACCGCGCGGTCGGCTCTCCCCTCCCACCCCGGCACCGCGGTGCGGCTCTCCTCCCACCCCCGCACCGCGCGTGCGGCTCTCCTCACCCCACGCGCGTGCGCTCTCCTCCCCCGCCACCGCGCGTGCGCTCTCCCCTCCACCCGAGCCGTGCGCTTCCCTCCCACCGCGACGCGCGGCGGCTCTCCTCGACGGGCCACCGGGCCGTGCGCTCCCCCTCCCACCCTGGCACCGCGGTGCGCTCTCCCCCCCACCCCCGGCACCGCGCGTGCGGGCTCCTCCCACCCGGCCACCGCGCGTGCGGCTCTCCCCTCCCACCCCCGGCACCGCGCGTGCGGCTCTCCCCTCCCACCCCCGGCACCGCGCGTGCGGCTCTCCCCTCCCACCTCCGGCACCGCGGTGCGGCTCTCCCGCCACTGCTCCGGGCTCAGACTGCAGGCAGTTTTAGGGTGTTCGCCGCATCCGCCGAGACTTGGGGGAGGAGGGACGGAAATGACTGCCGGGCTGTGTTGAGAGCTCTTTCCGTCACGGCCGCGCGCTGGCTGCGGTGTCGGCCGGGAGGCCGTGGCGACTGCGGCCGCGTTGCCGACTGCAACACCGGCAGCGGGGCGAGCCGGAGCGGCGCCGTCCCGCATTCCCGCGCCTCTGCACCACAGTGACTCCTTCTCCGTCTTGCGGGGGTGCGCGGGGAGCACGGTTTGCTGCTCTGGGTTCTGGACTGTGGGTCTGCCAGACACCAGATGCTCACGCAAGAGCCAGTCCCGGGGGAGGGGCGCGTTGGCAGCTGCGGCTGCCAGCCCAGCCCCGGAGCCCCGCGCCCGGGGGTCTCTGCACCCACTGGGAAACCACAGGCAAAAATGAAAGGTTATGAAACCAGTTTGGTCTTGACACTTTTATGAAGTTTAAAGTTTTGTCTTTAGAGTCTGTCTTCTAACTTTGCAATATAAAATATGTAAATTTTATAAGTTTTTTTTTTAATTTCACAATTGGAGCCTAATTCGCTGCCCAGTATTAAAGGAAGCCCAAGGGTCACTGCCCATCAGTATGCAATGGGGGAAATGGAAATAAAAGTCCCTCCTTCGGTTCATGAACGCGCTTAAAAACTGGAAAGTGCTGGAGGGACACGAGGCGCGGCCGGCGCCACCCGGCGTCGCGGACACACGCCGGCCGGCTTGCGCACGCGGCTCGCCCGGGATCCGCCTGGGCCGTCACTGCCAAGGGCTGTGGGGGCTCCTCCGAGTCCCCAGGGCGGGACTCCCCCAGTCCCGCCCCGAGCTGGCGCTGCGGCCTTCTAGCTCCGAACCCCTCCACGGCGGCGCTCTCGGGCCGTCCTAGCTGCGCTTCAAACTGGTGTTCCCGAGACTGAAATCGTGTCCCTCCACCCCGGCTCAGCCTTCTCCAGAGCGCCCCACCTCTGTGCGCCGCACGGGCTCCCCTCCCGCCGCCGATCGCGAAGTCTGACCACGCTGCCTCCTCTCCGTCTCTGTGCCCAGTCGTTCCACAGCCTCCCAGCCGGCCTCCCCCACTCGCCGGCCCTCTAACGCCTCCTCTCTCCGCCCTCCTGCCAAAGGGACCCTGGTCCTCCAAGGTCCTCAATCCACTCTCCGGGCTTGCCATGTCACGGCCCGGGGGCTGACCCCAAATCTCCACCCCCACCGGCCGGGCAGCTACACAGCAGTTCAACTGCAGGACTGACTATTCCCCGGACAAACCTGGGTTTCCTGCTATCACACTTGACTCACGCGACGCCCTCGACCTGGAAGGCCCTCACCGCCAATGTTGCGCACCCGAACCTCCGGGAACGCACTGGACTTCACCGTCATTGCTCTTTACTATGGAATCTTGGGGGAAGTCCCAGTAAACATTCCTCTTATCTATAAAAGGGAAATACTGATTGAATAAAGGTGGCTCAAGCTGTAACTAAATAACTCGATGATCCCCATAACAGCTAACATTTATTGATCATTTCCAATGCTCTAGAGAAGTCCTAAACATGAGTGAATTTATTTAACAGTTCTGGCCGGGCGCAGTGTTATTATTCATTGACAAGCACCGGTCCTGCCCTTCAAAGGTCTAATAGGGCAGCAGTCGCCACGGGGCAGAAAGGATGAAGGTGACGGGCCGCGGGCCCTGCGGGAAGGGTGGCGAGAAACAGCCTTTGGCCGGGACATTCAGGAGGCGCCTTTCAGGAAGGCTGCGGGCCGCGGCGCGGGCAGGGCCGCTTTCCCGTCTGAGCGCCTTGCTGTGAACGCGCTCTCTGAAGTTTATGGCCGGCAAGTTTTTCACAAGATTCCCAGCTGGCTTCATTACTGAGCTGATCTCACCACAATTACATAAGGAGCGTGCGGCCACCTACAGCCGCGGGCTGCCTAGGAAGCAGGGGCGCGAGGCGGGGGCAGACAGGCGGCGCACTCCCAGCCCTGCTGTCCCCGGGTTTGAGTCTGTTCCACCGCCAGTAAAAACGGAGCACTTGGCAGGGCTGCTGGGAGGAGCTCAGGAGGTACATATGAGAACGCCCAGCATGGAACAGGTCCTCGGAAACGTGGGCTTGCTTTCCCTAGCTTAGGAGGGAAGAAGCACCTATAACTCAAAGCCCTGGCCTGAATGGGGAGTTCTCTTCCTGCTGCTGGATATTCTGGGAGAAGTTGCCGGCCAGGAAAGTCCCCAGACTAACAAAGAAGGTAAAGTCGCAAAGGTGAGAACAGAGTG